GGGGGAGGGGTGGGCAACAAACGAAAATCAGTGTAAAAGAAGGGACTGTTAAAGGGTTAATAGGTTACGTAATTACATCAGTTGATAAGGGGTCTTGTTTCATCATAATAAAAATGACTACTTGCATAAAACGCTCATAACTTTGGGGGATTCGTCGAGATTCACAGTTGATAGATCCCAAAAGGATGTGACAGTTTCAATTGAAAACAAAGTAAGCAAGCAGCTCAGAGAACTTTTGAAGAAATGATGGAGAATATTTGTAGCTCAAGTGGATGGTCTTGGTCTTTTGAAGAAGCAATTGATTGATGGAGCAACCTATAGTGAACTTAAAACATGAAGTTCACGACTACCTTTTATGTAAGACCTTCCAAAAATCCATAAGTTCAGTGTTCCTTTGAGACTCATTTTATCCATGATAAATTCACCTTGTCACAAATTGGCTAATTGGCTAGTAAAGAAATTGGAACCCATCAGAAAAGCGCTCGCAGCTTAAAACATACACTCCAATTCTCTGAAGAACTGCATAGATTAGATATTTCACATAAATTCATGGTATCATTTGATGTTTCCTCATTGTTTACGAACATACCAGTGGGAGAAACGATGGACATAATCTATCAACAGTCTGATCTACTACCATTGCCGAAAACAGAACTTAAACAATTACTGCCCCTCCGTACAAAATGTGTTTAGTTCCAGCCTAATAATCAACTAGACTGGCAAACTGATGGCGTAGCTATGGGTTCACCACTAGGACCTATCCTAGCGGATATACTCATGGCTCATCTCCAGCAAACAAGTCTGAACGCTGCAATCAAGGAAATGACACATTGCTGCAGGTATATCGATGATACTTTCATCGTTGTTCGACACCTTCAATCGAGCTCATCCAAATATTAATTTTACAATGGAATATGAAAATGAGGACAGATTCAAATTTTTGGATCTAAGTATAAGGCGGAGATATGATGGTACAGTCGAGAAAACTATCCACAGAAAGGACACGTGGATTGATCAGTACCTTCACTACAATAGCTTCAGTCCTGTCAGCTATAAGTGTAGTTTAGTCAGGACGCTATTCACTAGAATAAAAAGGCTATGCTCTAAAGATAAACAAAAAAAGAATCCGGGATAGTTGAGAAGGCTCTTATAGAGAATGGATACCCGAAGAAATTCAACATTAAGCATGGAAAATAACTTATTGAGAGACCAAGACATCCAACTATTGAGAAGAAGCCTGTTTTCCTTCGCCTAGCATTCAAAGGTGATGAGACATCTAAAAGAATAGATAGAAGAGTAAAAGCCGCAATGAGAAGCTTCCCTGCTGCCAGAATGATCTCAGTTTACAATACATTATGCCCAATAACACAGTCGAAAGCAGACAAATAGCCGGCTCACGTCATCTTTAACCGTGTATATCAATTCACCCGTGCTTGTGAAAGTGAATACATGGAAGGGACCGAAAGAAGGGTGTCTACTCGATTTTATGAGTATATTCCAAGAAATCTGTGTCTGAATGGTAGCAAGGTCTTCAAAAGTGCAATCGCCAGGTGTCTGATGAAAATAGGACTTCAAATAAATGTTTCTCAATCTTTCAGGATAATCAATAAACAAAGAACACCACGTTTATTACGGTTTGCGAAAGCTCTCAAACATCAAACATTTTCAACCTGATCTATGTACTCAGAAGGAGACTGTAACTAACCTTTCTTCACCTTGGTAAATGTATATAGCTTTTTACATACGTATGTAAATAATCTTGCCTTTTCTTTTGATTGCATCATCTCATTAATTACTTACTGAATATTAATCACATAACGATTTCCAAGATTTCACGTAGTTACGTAGCCTATTAACCCTTTAACAGTCCCTTCTTTTACACTGATTTTCGTTTGTTGCCCACCCCTCCCCCACAGCTACAGAATTTTCCATCTCATCGGATACAAATAGCCATAGATTTTGACCAAGACATGCAACTATTAATCTGTGTTTCCTTGACTTACTATCCTATTGTTAATCCTGGATTTCAGATTTCCATTCATTTCTGCATGTTTAAAGTATGTTATGTTATTATTACTACTAATAATTCACTTTAAATGAGCTCATTTTATTCTGTAAATGTCTTTGTTCTTGTGTTGTTCAAAAATCATGAACCTCAGTTTCAAGGCTTTCTATCGACTGCTTCAAATTAACCGACATCAATCAAAGTTCATTGAGATGATAAGGCTTTAAGTTTGATGGTTACACTGCAAACTTGATCGAAAGAATTCCCTTCACCTTGAAGATTCGTTAAAATGATATTAATTATTCCCCAATTTACTTGCAATAATCATTCATAAAATTACAGCAAATTGATACAAAACAGCGAATCTGGATCGGATGGATTTAATCTAAAATCTGTAACTGGATGGGTAAGCATGCGAAGCTACTTGTTGTCAAACAAAGGTAGTCATGTGACACTTTAACTGTTTGCTATGCAGTTATATAACCAGTATTTGAGGCGTACAATTTAACACAGAACACATCAACGTCGAATGTTAACTGGAATGAGAAAGGTTGATTGTAAGATTAAAATACAAAACCAAATATGGAGTTACTAACTGAAGATTTCTGTTATTTAGGACAGTGCAGACTATCTGTCTACCTTGATCTTGGTGACTACCATAGGAATCTGGGACGCGCATTTCGTTCCCTTTGAAACTCGTCAGCTGGATGCACCTGCGCCCCAGTGAGTGACGTTGTTCCAACCAAGCCTCGAACCTAGTACCCTTTGCTTTAAACGCAAGTATTATCTACTAAGCCAATGAAGCACGACAGCCGCCTATTGTGCAGAACGAAACGCGCCTCCTGGATTCCTCCGCCAGTCACCAAGATCAATATAATATCATAAATATCTGATAGTATCGAGGTATCCGCACAGAAGCCCATCTGCCAACAGAGGTTGAGCAATTCGGCCCTCCATAGTAACGGGGAAATTACAAGGATCATTACAATATCTGTCTACATATTTGAAGAGTCTCAGTGTCAGTACAAAATATAGATAATGCAGACGTTGGATGCGTATTCATTCCACATCATCGTTGAGATGCTGAATATTTTATGATATTTAATTCTTTCTTCCCTTATTTTCATACCCATCTCGTACTTTTGACTTTGTCTGTGCTGGTAGCGGCAAGTGGATCAGAATCCATATCCTACTCCATAATATAAACGTAAAATTTGTGCCCTGTGGTAGAATGTAATTCCATTTTTTATTGATTTATTAGATTTATCACACAGTGTAACAGTATTGTTTACTGGATTACGTTACGGACATAATTTATTGTCCATAGTCATATCAAGATAACTACACAACTTTGAGATATCCTTTACATAGTCCTAATTTCCCCGCCCCCTTTGTAACATTGGTAGTAGGATTTTGCATATATCCGGAACAGGTGCTGAGTCATTCTTGTTGCATATGTTAGGTGTTGATTCGATAAACAAAGATTCAGGTATCAATCTCTCTCTCCCATCCTATTGTGTGGTTGTGTATGTTTGTGTGCATTGCTATAACTGAGCTTTTTTCTTAATTCCTTATCTCACTAGGATCTATCAATTTTGAACTAGCTAGGCTTTTGTCCTCGGAAAGCCTACTTGACCTTGGTCGACTACCTTGACCTATGTAATTGATCTCGCAATAGTTACAAGATGTTCGATAAACTAAGTTATTTTGCTTAATTGGATCAATAGGATCTTTTAACTTACAAGGCTTATTTCTAAGTGAGTTTTTGTAAGTTTAATCTAATCCCAGCCTTATTGAGAATCCTACGTGGTATTTCCAGAGTACCTTCTCCGCATGGTAGAAGTTTTGAATTTTCTCTTCACAGTATTGACACTATTATTAATAACATTATTATTACTTCTATTAACACTTGTGTTTCTAACATTTTTCTTACGATTCCTAAGGAACATGTTAACTATTTTGGGAGGGTAATCGTTGATGAGTAAGGTGTCTTTAATGTATCTTCTGTTTTTTGGCCCTATTACTTAGACACTTTACTAAGCCAACTTTAACTAACGTAGGGTGAGACGATTTGAAGTCTAAGTAACCATTTGAATGTGGAGGTTTTTTGTAGACACTGATGTCTAAACCCCCATTTTGTTTACGTTTTATTCTGCAATCCAACTTTGGTAATTCCACTTCACTATTTTCTAATTCATAGGTGAATCGAATTGCGTTGACTACTGAATTTATATATGAAGAAACTATGTATGTGCTCCGATTTCAACATTGGAAATGCGTTGTCTACACAGCGAAAGCATATTTTTGGAGCCGGACTGAATGTTCCTACAACCATCAGTTCCCAGCAACCCATAAACATGTCAGCCACAACAGGGGATGATGGTGATCCCATGGTAACTTCTACCTACATCATAAAGGAGGCGAGGAAATTAGGACTATATAAAAGATATCTCAAAGTTGTGTAGTTACCTTGGTATGAACATGGACAATAAATTATGTCCGAAACGCAATCCAGTAAGCAATACCGTTACACTGTGTAACAGATCTAACATATTGTACTTCATCTATCTAAGCAGAAGAAGGATAAATGCAATATAAGCGTATGAATAAACAGTCGTATACTGGGGTTGTATTTATGTGAATCTGCTATCAATAAATAAAGTCATAAACAGCTGTTTTGTTATAATCTGAAACCTTTACTGAACTGGAAATTGAGAAACGAGAAATAGGGAGAAGCATAGTCAGATTTTACTATCAACACCAACGTCATTGGATCGTTACATAGTAATGTCAGGTTCTATGTTCATTGTGTCTTTCTATCTCTTTCCCTCCCTATAACCATTCAAATCACTCGTAAGACGTAACGTTGAACTATTTCTTAACTGTAGAGATATTCAATTCATCAACTATCACCTTTTTTGTAAATGAAATGGATCAGTTCAAACATTGAATCAAAACAAGTACACAGAATTTGGTTAAATAAACAAAAACTCAATTACCATGGTTTAGGATAATGACCAGTTTCCAACAAGAACTTCATTAATGTCAAATAAATTAGGTGAAGCAATTCGCTTTCCTAAATTAAGATATAGACAAAAAGCATAAAAGTTAGAAATGGTCACATAAAGATGTACTCAGTGTAACATTCAGTGTGATAGCTGTATATCGCTAAACCAGGGATTAAAACGTCTCGTTTCTTCGAAAAAATCTCAACTGTTACCTTCAAAACAAAACAACTGCCCATTATACCTTAGACTGGGTGTTAAATGAGACGTAAATGATGCATCTATCACATTCGCAGATGTACATGAATGAATTCCAACTTAATGGTTGCATATTAACGCATAATAACTCTTGATGGCGATAAAGGAATATCAAAAGTATTCCAAAGTAAATTCACACTACTTATGAGTAGTAAGGTTGAACAAAGTGATATTTCTAATTCAAGGTCTAGTAGACGGGTTGCAAAATAGTCACAAGTGTTAGCAAACAAAGGAAGAGATTATCAATTCGATAGTGGTTAATCAATGACAAAAATGTCCTAATTTGCATCAGACAACCTTCTTCAGACTAACGACATCACTAGCTTGAACGGATGAATTTCATAAGGTTGACAGAGTTGATACATGATCTCGGCGCACAGTAGCTATCACAAAATTATAAAATCATGTACTATGCTAACCGAAACTATCTGAATTTTACCTTTCATAGAAATGAAGAAGTAAGAAGAAGCAAATGTCGCACTGAAACAGTCTATGCAACTATCATACTTGTCTTTATATATGAAGACAATTACTCAGTGAAACAATAGTCGATAGACAAATTTCAATTTCTTGTCATTCTAAACAGTGATCAACACCTAACATGTACTAACCGAAGATAAACAGGAAACGAGTGATTCCATAGAATTTTAAGCTTAAAGACCAAAAGATATTCATAAACCTGCTTGCTCTGAACGCAATCAACATTCAGAATCATGTTGACAAATAGTAATAGGTTAAACTAATGAGCTGGAATATTTTGTGCTTTGTCCTGTTTGTCACAATCGAACAAAAAATGCGAACTAGTTAACCATGTGTAGGTTTATTACAATAAGCAATGAGCTACACCCGATGTATTAGAGCTAGGCATACTGTTTGATTGTTCAAACCATGGAAGGAAAAGAAGCATCATAACCCAAGACCTAGAGGTTGGAAATTAAGTTCTACCGAACTAGAAAGTCAAATAGTATCATAAGGCTCTAAAAATTCTATGTAACTCAAAATATATGTAAAAAATCCTGAAACAGTTCAACAATTTTCGAAAGGGTTCAAGTAAATTTCACAGAAAATTAACACATGTAGAGATACATTGGTAAATAAATATAAATTAACGCTTTACTAACTTTTGGTTCACTGAAATCCACACAAGTAAATTTCGGATTTTCGATTTGTTCAATCATAGTTTTCTACAAAATGTTAAGTAAATAGAATAGGAAGAAACGTAAGTCAGAAAAAATTTTTAAAAAAACAGAACACAGGTTATACAAAAAATGGTCTGTATTAGTATTGTTTTTCCAATGAGAAATACATGCGAAAAATGAGGGATTATGGTGAATGTACTTTGAATAAACTCTAAATACGTTTTCATAGACATTCTATTTACTTGATCAATTGAAACAAGGAATTTGGTATATGGCGTACCTCAAACGGCAATGTTACGAGAAGTTGGATTAGAAGGCTCAAGTTGGTCAAACCAAAAATTAGTACCAGTCGATGAAGTTTCTGACTGTTGAACTGATTCGTGTAGGGTCCTTGAGATGACAGAAATCAGTGGTTGAGGACACTTGGTGAAATAGTTGAGAATTGGTCACAATGGTACAGATGTAAACACTCCATGGAGTCTTTTAAAGCTTGAATATTTGAACTAACCGCTTCTCTCAAATTGTTTATTCTCTCATACACCTTTCTCTACTTTGATATTAGCCTTTTAATACTCACTTGTCCCTTGGATATTACTGTGAAGTGTGGCAACCTGAACAAGTGCAGTTGTGTGCCAGTTTCTACGGTGAGTTATCCATCTGGCTTAGTTACCCAACCTCCAAGCTACTGGGTCTATTGAGGTATTTTCAGCCCTCAAACAGTAGATATGACTGATAGCATGTTACATCAACCTGCAGATGGCTACCGCTTAGTAAAAAAATTATATGTCATTGCTTGCTACACCAGTTTTAAAGGTGCGGATAGATTTGTTTGTCCACTAAATACTAATGACTAATGATAATTGATCCAAGACTGAGGTTTCTGATCTTTCAAACTCTGTGATAAAAGGGCGAACAAGTTGGATGGATCTTTTACTTTAGGGAGTTAAATATTCACACGGCACAGTCGATGGAAATTTATTGTACGATACTTGTAGGGTCTTCCATCAATGGTGATCAGTTACATACAAATATAAGTAACCTTAAGAATTCAGTTTGAGATATTGGGACAATAATTTCAAGCTCTACAGTTATCATCAATTCTAAATAATATACAGATTTACCAACAATAACGACAGGAAGGAAGTAGTCGAATATAGCATTTGTTCATTTGTGTCATACAGACGGCCAGACGGATCATCGAGATGTCAAGAATCAACGGCTAAAGGTTCCACGTAAAATGGCTCTGAATTAATTAGAACAGCGCATATGTATTAAATCTTAAATATCCTAGTGGGAACAACATCACTAACTGGAAGCCAGGTACATTCAGCTGACCAGTCCTAAATAGGGCAGAATGCGCATACTGCTAGCCACTATCCATCATTCTTAAATATCCTTTTTATTTGTTCCGTATACTTTTATATAGGCTTTATTATCATTATACTTCTGTTCACTTCTTATCCATGAAACTGTTGAGTATGACAATTTGAACTGATGCACTTCTGTGCAAAATCATACAGTGAGTCTCAAGAACATCAGAAGTCAGACTAGTGAAATGTAATAATTACCCACAGGCTTCCAGAAATGCATTTTGCGGGCTGGCAATGATGGTCGGGTTATAACACAAATTGAATGAATGTAATCGCAGCTTCTACAGAACTACTGGTTACGAAATATATCTGTAAAGCATATGGTCACAATTTCACGTAAATGGAATCAAAATACACTCAGCAGTACAGTGGGCTATCATTACCACCTGGCTGCTCAGACATCAGTAGTTAGAGTGGGGTTCGAACATATGACCGACTTAGTTGGAAATCGACTGTCAAAAAAAGTGGGCCAAAGTTCCATTAAAGCATACGTGCCCAACAGAAAGTAGGTGAGAACAGAAATCAACATTACAGACCATCAACCAATAAGGTAAGAGCTTTCGAGCTTTAATTTTTGGTCTATATGGCTTTTTCGTTAGGATCATCTTAGTGGGTGGATAGGTTCATATAACACCAATGAGAACAAGCAATTTAGTGTGTGCATACATATACACATAATGTGATATATATTACATTTTGTCTACACAGTCGCAGTACCAGGCCAGCCTTCATCTTTGGATGCTTAGAGTGTCAGTGAAGCGAAAATAACTGAGAAAGGCTGTCATTATTTGAGTGCAGTTCGAGTATGTACACGTTCTGCGTAAGTTCGGATTCAACTTCGCCACTTCAGTATTGTTTGACCGCCTAACAAGTGAATTGAATCTTTCGCCTAGTCAACCTAATCTCACAAGTAGAATCAACCCACTCTGAACTTCTCCACATCATTGCACTTGATAAGATAGACACCTGCAAAACACTTTGTCGAGTAGAAAAAGTACAATGCATATTATCCTTTTTCTAATTAAATAAAAGCACAAACAAAAATAGTCTTTCGATATCATCTCAAAGTCCTTCGAAAATCAAAACAAGATTTTTTTAAATGTTTCAAAGCGACACTGACATTACCAGACGCCAGAAACACTAAAAATCAGACCGACTTCATCTAAATCTCAATAAAGTGGGGATGCAGCCTACTGGACACAAGATGAAATGAAGAAATGAACACACGTAGGTTCACAACACTCACCATCTACTGCAAGAAACTTACCTTCAAATCAAGTTGAAAGCCTTCGAAGAGGATGTTGATGACAGGCCACAGTTCAACTCAACACCCAGAAAAGAAACCGAATTGAAGGACAAAACTAAAGGGGACACCTTCACGTCAGTCAGCCATCAGGACAAAATGAGAGACATTAGGCAACATCCCCGAGGAAACCTGTGTGGAAGAACACTGGAACTTCTTGAAAGAGATGTGGAACGAAACCTGCATAACCGTGTTAGGAAGGAAGAAGAAATAGGAAAGGACAAGGAATGGATCTCCACAGATCTCCCACATGGAAGTTGATACAGCAGAGAGAAGGGGATTGTGAAGAAGAAGAAGATGATGATGATGATGAAGTAGTGTAGTGCAGAGATGAACAACGGAAAGAGGAACTGAATACAATCAATAAAACATTGAATGAAAATGTGAAGAGGAGTGAACGGAGAGTCGAAAGACAATTCTGCGACACATTGGCAAGTGAAGCAGAACAGGCTGAAGGTAAGAGAGACAGATATCTGACAACACTGTATCACTCAACCAGGTTACTATCTGGGAGGGAAGAGATCAACGCAGATGAGACCAATGAAAGATAGTGAAGGAAAGCTAGTTACCAAAGAGGAGAAAGAAAGAAAACGATGGACTGTTGACTTCAAAAAACTCTTGAATCGATCACGAAGTTCAAATGGTCCAGAAATATCACCAGCAACCGCAGAACAACAAGTGAATAAAAGCCTTCCGACAAAAGCCGAAGTGAAGTCCTGAACTGATGATCACCCTCCATTTAACAAACAACTATCAAAGTGCATCGCATCGTTGAGCTATCTAGTCTGTTGGCCACACTGCAAAATGATTGATAGAATTCCGTCAGAACTTAAGACTAGACAACATGAAGTTGGTTACCTCGCAATGACCAATTAGTATATGTATACAATCTGTTTAGGCTGCCTGTCATTAAAAACCATCCGTAAAATGAAAACAATATTACATCAATATGCCGCACTAAATATCCTTGCGCTATTTCCTTTCAACAGATGGAATTCCTCCAGAAGCACTGAAAACAGATGCAGAGACAACAGCAGTGGACATGCTCACACCACCACTGCAGAAAATGTGGAAGGAAGGAAGGAAGAATAAGTACCTTCCAACTGGATGAAAGGCTACCTTGTCAAAAAACCAAAGAAGTGTGATCTAAGTGTTTGCAGGAACTGGCACAGAATCATACTTGTGTCCACCCAAAGCAAAATATTAAGCCGCATAATCCTTGAAAGACTAAAAGATGCCTTGGATTGACAACTACGACCGGAACATGCTGGCTGCCTTCAGTAAGAACAAATTATGTGCATCAAATTGCAACGCCACGCTACGCATCATCATAGAACACAGCATAGAATGGCAGTCACCTCTCTACCTCAACTTTATCGATTTTGATAAGGCCTCCGACAGCGTCGACCGAGAGTTAATTTGGCAGGCAGCTACTTCAACACTACCGTTTTAGTGTCACAAATCTTCATCAACCTCATTCAACAACTATATGCTATATAATGCTACATCCACGTTATTCACAATGGAAAACTCAGTGATGCCTTTGAAGTGAAGACAAGAAAGAGTAAGACAAGGCTGACGCCTACTATCAGCGATGACCTTCCTGATTGTGGTTGACTGGATTATGCAAGAAACTGTGAGGAACTGTGAGAAGATGGGCATACTCTGGGTGGACCGATGAAAAGAGACTAGAAGATTTGGATTTCGACGACGATGATGATTTATGTCTAATATCTCGTCGCACAAACTCGAGAATGTACAGGCGAAATGTAACAAGTTTACAGAAGAGGTGAGGTGAGGCGAGGCGAGGCAGGGCAGCGAATACGGGACTTCCTTCAGGTGAACGTAGAGAAGACAGACAGAGGTGATGAAGATACCCAACCAACCAACAACAACAAACATCAATCACCATGAAGGGGAGGAACCTAAAGGAGGTAGTCTCTTTCACCTACCTAGACAGTGGAACATCGTCTCAACTACAGGAGGCGGTGGTGGTGGTGGTGGTGGTGGAGGAACAAGTGAGGATGGGAGAGCCAGGATCAGAAAGACAGTGAGACACGTCTTCATTAATCTGAAATAGTCAGTGTGGAGATCTACTCCAGTCAGCATAAAGAGTGAACAACATCCGGATTTTGAACACCAATTGAGTGAAGTCAAGTCAAGTCAAGTCAGTGCTTCTCTGTGTGATGGTTGAGAAAGTTGGCGAGTTACGAAAAGCATTTCCTTGCAACAAACTACAGACATGTATCTACATGAACAGCTGCCACCTACACTCACTCGATACTGACACTGAAGATCAGATTTCCAGAATAATAAGAATAAGCGACAAGGAAGTCACTCTGTCAGTCAACGAATCAACCAACGAACCGACGAACCAACCAGCAATCCATCGTCGAACAAATATGCAGAAAGTGGAGATGGATTGGATTGGGCATGCAGTGAGAAGACCGATTGGGGACATGATGCACCAGGCTAGGTCAGGTCAGGTCAGGTGAGGTCAGGTCAGGTTGTCGAGTGGAAGCGAGATGGGAAGGGACGAGTTGGGCGTCCGAGGTGAGGGTGACATGGAGGAGATGGTGTGAGGAAGAAATGAAAGGTTGTTGGCAGTGGTGGAGTCAGGTTAAGAAGACTGGAGAGAAGAGGAGAGTGGAATGGTGACGTGCTACTGAATCCCTATATTCCACTAGGAACCCAAGGGACAAATAATAATAAGTACATTGTTAGTATATGTGATTTACTTCAAAAAGAAACAACTGCTGAGAACCACATGTTTCCCTCCGTATGCTTCGAAATGTTAACAATAACTCATTTTAAATATTCCACTGAAACCTATCCATGAAATATGGTCAGACAAAACAGACGTAGAACTTCGCACACGAGTGCATCGTCTCAAATCATCGCACTTCACAGTAATACATAAAGAGGTGGGTAGAAGGGACTGATAAAAAGGATACGAAGTTATGTGGGCGAATAAACAATTTGATGAGAAAGATAAGCACGAATATTCTAGATATGGAAGACGTCAAGGAGTAAATAAATCTGCACCATTGTGACCTATTTTAAGCCATGTTAACACGATTCTTCAACCACTGATTCCTATTGTCTCGGGGAACCAACATGGCTTAGACTAACAGTCAGCGATTTCATCGAGTGGTGCGAGGTCTTAGTCTGGTCACCCTGAACCCTCTTCTAACCTAATTCGACTTCCGCTAGCTTGGCACATCGAGATAGGCAGTGGTTCGGCATGCGCAGTAATTGTCAAAGCCCTCTCAGCCAATGAAGGTTAACAATGTAGTTAATCGACTTGCCTATCTCGCCTAGTAAGATTCGCTTGACCTTGATATTGCTCATACGGCGATTCCAGCAGATGCGGGCAATGCTATGAAGACAGCTGTGATCAAAACCTTGTGATCGCCTCATGTCTACGTTTAACGGTAATGTCTCACAGGAAAGAACGAACTGCAGTACAGTATACTCGTCCTTTGATAGATAGTCGGATGTCTTACCTCAAATTATTACATACACTTATTGTGCGAAGGCCTGTGATAAAACCCAGTTGCTGAGACCGAAGTAGATGGAGCAGGACTTAAACACAGGAACCAGAACCCAATTTACATCGACCAATGCGTACTGCATTGTAAATTTGATTGACAGAGTTCGGTCAGTATCGATATTGTTTAATCACTAGTGACCAATCAACGTAAATATACACAATTCACCTGTATTTATTTCTCGACAGAAAAATAAAAAAGGAATCACCTACATAAGTTTGTATTTGTGGTTTCTTCACTTGAGTCGCAATACCACCATTGGAATAGGAAAACTGATCCCTTGCAATACAGTTTTTAATCAGTAATTCTGAAGGTGATTTGACTAGAAAAGTATGTAGGAAAAATGAAATAATTTTTAAGGTGAGTAATCAATGAAAAAATTTATGGAATCTAGTATTGTAATGACGTATTTTCATAAGTTACAATCACAAATCAGAAAGATAAAGCGATATAGATGTTGTAGTTTTATTTGAATATCAGTTTCCCTAATAAATCAAAGTATATATGTTCGATAAAACTGCTGGTATTTAGCAATGATGAGTCATACAGAGATCAGAAACCAAACCAGTTAAAGTCTAAAAATAACTGATCAGCCAAAACACCGAAACTTAAAAGTACACAGTAAGTGAACAAAGTTTGAAAGAAGACACATAGGTGAATAAGGATAACAAATCATGAGATCCGGTTTATTCACTATTGACCCGATGCTTTCATTCGCAATATAGTAACAAAAGCAGTACAACCCCATTAACATAAAAAGCGTCAAAAGTTGTAAGTAAACGTGTATTACGCAATGCTGAAGCTTTAGCAATACGGAAGAAGGAGACAGAATTATGTGTTGAAAAGGAATTTTCCTACTTAATTCTCTTATTTCTGAGATAGCACTGTAGACCTTCGAACCTAAATGACTCTGCTTTTCTCATGCAGTTCGAATCACTTATTGCTAAATCTGTGCACAGCAATTAAACTAGGTAAACATGTTTAAAGCAACTGGTCCCTTTGATAAATTTAAACAGCGTAATGAGAAGACGAAGATTTTTGACAAGTCCATGTGTGATCAGATTGTTCGAAATGTATAGCGCTAATACATCACATGTTTTAGGTAAACATGGTTGCACAGGGTCTAAAAGTGATTTCACTTAAGAAGAAAAACTGTTAGCTGAAAAGGTTTCATATGATCGGCCAACCAGTAAAATCGCATAGTAATAAAACGTTACCATCACCTACTAGTAAGCTTAAACTACTGAACCCATATTTCTTAGGTGAAACCTAGCAACAACTGTAAATGTAATCGAAACTTTAAAAAAGAATCAAATCACTAACCTTGGGCGGGAAATTCCTTCTCATTCAACTCTGGAACTTTGTCAAGTCCAGTGAATCGAATAAAATCACCATTCTCTAGATGATGTCGACGGTCATTGAGCACTTTGATCAATAATTCATCATTATTCAACTATTGGGTGGAAGAAAATTTGCACTAATTATTTTAGTTAATTCATTAATACTACTCACAAAATCAAAAGTAACTAAAAAAAAATATAAAAAACGGAACCTGACTGGACTTTTAAGCAGCTGCTGAAGTACCTTGAATAAATCATCCTCTCATTCTTTTCCATTTTAGATTTATTCTCACTGAATTACCTACGAAAACCAAGTGGACTGAAAGGGACATAACAACTCTCAGCATTTTAACTTGGTAATAAGAGGGAATTGATAAATAAGATTATTTATTTTTGGTGATTCGAGGTTGCAGTGAGACAGATGACCAATATATTACTTTTCAACTCTGAAGTACCTTCCAAAAGTGTACACGGTGAAAAGAAACTACTAGAAAATAAACCTACAGATGTTCAAAACCTCTAGAAGACTTGAAGTTATATAGTGTAAAAATCCTGCCTAACTCCCCAAAATAGTTTCAGCAGTGCATTACATAGTTAACAGTGAAGCTATTCAATAAGGACGTAGATATTGAGATTTGCGTCCAAGTTAGCAGTAAAATAACTCAAATAATTTACATTTATATTAAATTGTACCAGAAGAGTGGGTAGTTTTTGTGGGTTGTACTAATGTAATGTAAGACAAGACAGCATATATTGAACACAAATTGAATATTCAGCTGTTTTACATAGTATGTGTAACCGGAAACAACATTAAATGCAACCGCGTCAAATTTTAGCAACGACCTCATCCTGTACAATTACACATATGTCAACTTTCTGGTCCAACAGCTATCGTCATGGCCTACAGAATTGCAGGGATGATTGTGTATCAAAGATCACCAAGTCAATATCGAAAAGCTATCTACAAACTGCGAGCCCAAACGAGTATTCCGCAGATAATATACAAAGTATATTGGAAACAAATAGGAATGGCCTAGAGAATAACACCTTCGCGTTCGAAGTAAATGCTCCTGGGGTTCAGGCATTTTCCGGACAACATAATCCGATGGCAGGTAGAAACATCCACCTGACAAGTCACGAATAAAGTGAAACGCGCATCCCGGATTCAACTACAAGCCACCACCCACCATGAACCACATATATTGCGGACGATTTATTATACTATCCATTCGCATAGGCAGAGGCAGGCGAAGTGGGGTCCAAACCCGGGGTCCAGTGCTTGTAAATTGCGTTTATAAACCAATAAGCCACATCTCTACAGGACATCGGTGAAATAGAAGATTCACGTATATACAAAGATGTGGCCTGGGAAAAGATGTTTATATTCTAGATTTCAGACAACAAATAATCAGTTAGAGTTAATATAAAGGTTAGTGAGAAACAAATAAATCCTTACCCATCAATATAAGGCTATAACTAACAATATCCATTTCCATCCACTCATAGTTTATTGATATTGTTGTCATCATTCACAATTAATAGCACAAGACAGAATTGGTTTCGGCTCACAGTTTAAAAGCATTAGCTCATCAATGCATTTATCATCGCATGTATCGAAGTTAAAGCACACATGAGTTAGTCATCAAATGTAAGGTGGTGTTTCAGAATTGGTCTGAGCAAACTACTAAGTGAAGGATAAACAGCGAAATAGTAGGATTTGTTGGCCACTCGACTTCAGATTGTATTCGGTCCAGTAGTGCACTTTATGTCTTAGGACAAGATGCTATACCTACATATGCAGGACCTCAACTACTGGTCATCGTGTACCAGAAACTCTGGGAGTGCATTTCACTTATTCACTATATTAGCCGGATGAAATTATATGAATAACCACACGTCGGTCGTTTATGCGTCTCTCACAAACAACACATCTCCATAGCCTGAGATGCCAAAGCTTTTGAGCGTGTTGCCTGTTGTATGACTTGACGAAGCACGTGAACATTGAAAGCTCCAATACGTCTTCTGGATTGTGATTTCAGATGGCCGGTGAAAACGTTTCATGAACTGAAATCTGTATGAGGGTCTGTATGGCTGGAACAAATTAAGAATAACATACGAATACTACCCGGGAGATACGAAGAAAGATTAGAAGACAAAGATGTGAAATGTTGATGATGATCTGTGGAAGCTTTAATGTTAACACATTTGTGAGGGCAGGTGCCTGTTCTGCAGTGACCACACAGTGGAAGGTAATACCATCCTAGAGAAGCCGATAAAAATTCGATTAGTAATAGCCGTGCGTGACGATGAAGCCAAAGGAACATCTAAGTGAGGACGTTCACACAAGAGCTTTTCGGAAGTTGGACATTCAACTTTGATTGTCTGAAACCAGGGAATGAAACCTATGACCCTCGTGCCACATGACATCAGGGCAGAGAGGAGTGTTCAGTTCATGGGTCTGAAATTTCCCAACCCCACTTCTCATAGGGAAGTCAACACCAACACAGACTCCCGACCATCTGACGGAGATACTTCACTGTTGTCACACCCCTCTAACCACCAACCTCATTTCATCACCCTATGACCCTCACCACGGAAGCGCGACTTCCACAACAACAGTAACTGCATCTTATCTTGCCAATACCCCGAAAACACCTTCGTATCATAGTTCGACCTTAAAGAATATTTATCCCAGTCAGTATAGCTCACTGGACCTTTGAGACATGCAAGCCCCACCAAACTGTAAATTTTGCTGCGTTAACAATACCTTCAAATACAGATAGTCAAAGTAGTAGTCGACTTCAACCCTGAAGAAACGAAGCTGAACCGATCGATAGTGAAGGCATCTGCGGTATTCCACGATTATCGTCTCCTATGGTTTCGCCTGGAAGATCGATCACCTTTCGCTACCAGAAACAACTTCAAGCACAGAGAGAGGGATATTGTCTTCTTACAGCAAACCACTACCGGACACAAACAGATAAGATTGTTGTAAGCCGTCAGTAGAGAGAATCAGTGAAAGGTCACCATTCTGTATGAAGTACCTGATTCGACTTGTATCACTCGAAGCTGAGAAGACTGTTTCTGACCCATGCATCGACTGATACTTCACAACTGGTCTACACGAACTACAAATTCATGGATAGGCTTTGAAGTGGTAGTGTGTGTTGACCTGACTTCTTCGCTTACTTGTGAATTACATTAGCCCAGAAAGACTGATCGCTGATGTGTTCTCAACTCGGATCCAAAAAGTGTGACTTTGGCATCTCCCACCTTTCGTTGTCTGTGTCATCGATGACATAACCGCCTTCCTAATAAGGGTCGAGTATACTGCACTGCAATTTACCCCGTCGTATGATACACATATGAGACTTGATGGCTGAGAAACGATGATATGAAGAGGTTACAGTATCTTCATTACTGGTGTGTTACTGTAGCATAACTAGCCTGTGGTAGAGTTATTGTGTGAGGACTGGTGAAGTTGGATGTAGAGTTTAAATAAGAAAGGCAAATCAGTCGATGAGGTTGTTTACTTTCAGCGACTGAGGTTACATGGATAGGTGTTGCACATGCCAAGGCAACATCCACCTTCTACACGACATGTTATGCGAAGTAGGATCAATTAAGAAGAAGGCTGAAGGTGGAGGGATGGAGATGTGACACCAGTTCATGAAGTCTTTGACTGTTGACTTGAGGGGTGCATGAAGGTGTAGGTTGAATCACTGAGGTCCTGTAGAAGATAGAAGCAGATGGTTGGCGGCTGTTGGTGGTATGACTCGAAATATGTCCTGGTGCCGCCGACGTATACACTTTTTCATCTCCAAAGCCCTGAACATTTCGTTAATCTTCATTGAGTTACCCGCTGTTTTCTCATTCAAACTTGTCGCCTGCCTTGACATACTTTTTTTTTATCTCTTTTTTTCGTGTACACTGTTATAAGTTTTGATTTCACGTCAACTTGTTTGGCTGTCATAGTGACATATAAATTGAAAGTTGCGACTCGTTCTCAGACAATGCATTTTGAAGAAACTATTGTGCATGCCAGCTGGTCATTTTATTTTTGCGAAAGATATCCATAATTATTGTCAGAAATGATTTGTAGTTAGTACATAGAACTTTTTGGGTGGTATTTTGTGTAACTGTTTTATGTAAAGGCGAATCATATTATTGCTACGTATTAAGTGAAGCTTTAATAAAGACCAGGAAGCTCCTGGTATTCGAGTTATCATGAATATAAGATTATTCAGTAGCATACAATCTAATTTGTGAGTTTTGGTAGCTGATAACGCTCAGATAGGAAGATGTACAAGTTTGCAAATGAAAATGAACGGAACCCACCATAATTAATCAATAATGTGGGTCTGTGCCTCATTGGTTTAGGGAGATAGGTCACGCGTTCCAACACCGATCCACCTAACGTGGTTTGGGAAGTCAGGTAGTATCATTAGTTCTCACACAGAAGGTGTGGCTCATTGTCTACTGCATGAAAGTGCACAAGGCTGCTAAGTACATCATTCTTCGTCTTTGTTTCACTAGTCAATAGTGACTGCAGTCTCATACTAGGATGAAACAGCTGTCCAGTTCTCCCAGATTTCCAATATTCCTCCAGCTGATGGCAGTCCAAGATGAATACCGACTTGAAGAATCACTAAATACCCACAAACCCCCAAATTAAAAACTAAGAAGTAAAAACAGATAGGTCCGTGTAGAACATGGTATAAAAAGTCCATCAATCCAAATTGGTGTACTTCACAGAACTATGCTAAGGCATGAAAAGAAAGCGAATAACATTAAATTAGGTGAAAATGCGTAAGAAGTCATGGAATAACTAGATAAAAGTTAATAAAAATATTCGGAACTTCGAAAATGACAGACAGTGTATTCACCTACGACATGGTTTAACGGTTCACAGTCTTATCACAAAATTCAACTACATTTATGTCAATTTGTAGTGAATTTTTTTTTGAAACCAATTTCAAAAAAGGGGAAATTATACATCACTTGTGTGAACATCTACCTTGTTAATATGTCCAACAAAAAATTCTTTAGGCGCTTCATCATCTGGTAGTGAAACAGTGAAATTTGATCCAAAATCACAGAATAGATTTCCAAATGCACCATATACATCTGTATATATAAACTATCGGAGAGAAAAAAGAGATTTAGAAGAAATTTTAAAGAAAAATTCTCATATAATAGTAATTGGAATAAGAGCTGTATGATGGGGTACATAAGGGTGATAAATGAGCATATAGTTTGATGATTTAGATACCCAGTTAACATGTATTCAGAGTAGTTCCATTTTATATTATAAAATAGAAGGAGCACATTCAGCCTTCTTGGTTGTATAGTGTTCTCTGAGTTGGGTTGTTTAATCGTTAAGCTTTCATCGTCTTTCTAGACGGTATCATCAGCAGTCAATGACACAATAATCAAAGGAAGCAACCAATCACAGACCACTTCGTCAAGCTACTAAAACACTCACGGAGAGATATTGATAGCTCACTTCATACTGAAGTTAGTGCTGATGATACCGTCTAGAAAGACGATGAAAGCTTCACGATTAAACAACCAAGCTCAGAGAACACAATACAACCAAGACGATCCACCTGAGCTACAAATATTCTCAACTACATCCAGCCTTATTCATAACCTATCTGCATGTGGTTATTGAATTTGATCATCATGATTATTAACAGGAGGAGGAGTAATCTATAGGGAGCAAGTTACATCCTTAACGCCATCAATATTGACTGACTACCCAGACGATTAACAATAAAGCTTAGTACGTGAAGAAGTGAAAAGCCACCTATATGGAACACATATACTAGTTACAAAAGCGTTATCCCGTGTCTCTTAAACATTTGACGACAATATTGTACTAACTAACAATTTCATGAGTGTCAAACCAACTACTGAAAACTGCATAAATTCATCTCGAAGATACAGTAGAAATCTTTAACTACCAAAAGGATAAGAAGATAGCTTTAGATAACTTAGCAAAACGTTTGTCACAACAATAGCACACGAGTCTAGCAAAGTGCCCCATGTGTTCATGTAAAGTTGAACAAAGCAGTGTTGGAATGAAATGCCAACACCTCAATCACCTTCATGAAATACGAACCAAATTTCCTTTAAAGTAATATATTGGTGTATTTACTATTTTCCTTATTATCCTGAGACTGACATAGTGTTTGTGAAGCTGTAACTCATTCATTTAGACAGTCAACACTTTTAAAAATGCATCACAGATTGGAAATCTACTACAGCACTCAAACTTTACAATGGCTGGGTAACACATTATCAATAAGGATGACAGACTGACAAAATTAATGTAGAACCTTTTAGACAAGTGCATCAGTTCAACTTATCACATTTCACAGCAGCATACAAATAATAAGGTGGACAAAAAACAAGTAATATGAAAGTACACAAAGTTGTGTGAGAGAATAAACAATCTGAAGATAAAGGTTAGTGTGAATATCCAACCTTTAGAAGATGTCAAGGTGTGAATACATCCGGGCCACTGTTACCGACCTTCATCCAAGTTACCAAGAATTCTCAACCATCCACCCACCTACCCAAATCAACATAGGACCAGGGATTACTGAGTAAAGGTCCCACTTGTCACACCTCATATCCGTACAACAAGTAAAAAGGCAGTGCAGTGAAAGATGGAGAAAAGAAAATTCACCCAAAAGAAATATAAAGCACTAAAAGAGAGAAAGGAAGAATGAGGAAATGGTGAGACTCGGTATAGCGTCGTTAAGATGAAGATAATGTGTGTATACATCTGCGCCACTGACATCTATTCTGAACCATATCACATAGTCTCCAACCACTGGTTTCTCTTGACCCGCAGACACCAACCGCATAGCGTACATCGCCCCACATGGTTCAAACCAACAGTCAAAGACGTCAAATATTGGTGCCATGTTTTAGTGTGGCCACCTCGGGCCTTTTTCCAGACTGGACCTACTTCGGCCAACATTGTGTGACGAGGTAATCAGCGACTAGGCATACGTAAACACATGTCCCAACCATCTCAGTCGATGAAGGTTCATAACCTCTTCTCCCTAAAACTCTACACCTGACTTCTGCGTTACTCAAGTGGTGACAACATGGAATACGCCTTATACTTCGAAGGCAACGGTGGTCAAACAAGTGAACCCAGCCTTCTCATGTCTTCCACCTTCACTGACCATGTTTCACAGTCATACAGTAGAACAGAGCGGACTGCTGTGCAGTACACGCGACCCTTCATAGACAATCAGATATCATGGCGGCGCCACAAATGGCGCAAGTTGGCAAAAGCCAACCGAGCTTTTAGTATTTGTCCAGAGATTTCATCGGCCACTGCACTGAGCCACCAGGGCAGGGCTGATCCCACTTCCCACTCAAGTGAAGTGGTAGACACACTCAACCACTTCACTCTATATTGTTAGCCGTGGTGGGACACTGTTGAAGACCAATGCTGGAGCAACAATTTGCATTTGGGTGGTGAAAATCGCATCCCAAACATTCTCAAATTCTCACTCAAAGTGTTCAGAAGACTCTGCATCTCATCAGTCAGCGTCTTCACCTAACAGCACTATGTCATCTGCATATTCTAGGTCTAACGAAAATTCTCCTGTGATTAGGTCAACCTCTCTGTAATCAGGTGACGAGAGGCAGACCTACATAAGAATATCTTTGATAAAATTGAATAAGAAAGGAGACAGTGGGCGTCCTTGTCGGACACAACTCGATGAGCATAGCTCCCTGGACATCTCACCATAGGCTCTAACACCCCCACAAGTGTTCGAGTAGAGAGCCTTCAATAAGGTGATGTACTTACTCGGCACACCTTTCAGTGAGAGACATTACCATAAGACTTCTCGATCAACGAAGTCGAATGCCGCCGCCTCCAGGTCGAGAAATACAGCTAGTGTCGGGCGTCCGCAAGCGTATGTGTTCCAAAACCTGGCGTAGTGTAAATGTTTGGTCGATACACCTGCGGCAGGGTCTAAAACTGCCTGCCTGCCTGGTTTTCTCGGGCTGGCTGTTCCCGAGCTCTACTCAGGCGTCGAAGAATTATAGAACCTAAAATTTTAGACAATACGTTCATCAGGCTGATTTCTCTGTGGTGATCACAAGAGGACTTCTCGCCTTTCTTGAAAACTGGGATAACCAGTTATTTAGACCAGTCAGAGGGGATCGTATTTGACTCCCATATGCTGATTAACACCTCTGTTAACCTGACTAAGAGCACCTTATCACCATCTTTGTATACCTCACAAGTTAGTCCGTCTAGTCCTCCTGCTCTCCCTCGTTTCAAGCTACCTGCGGCTTTCTCGACTTCTGCTAGTGTTGGGGGGGGGGGAGGGGGCTATTTCAATGTTCCATTCAGGATCCGACTGGCTAGTGGACAACGCAATGGTGGCTGGAGGCCAGTTAAACTGTTTCTCGAAGTGTTCTACCCATCGTTCTAGTCGTTTCCACTGCGAGTGAATTGCAGATCCCTCCTTCTCCGCTATAGTCTCACTAACCGTTGTTGACCGTCTCAGCGACCCTAGCAGGACAGTCTACATCCCCTCACATGGCTCAGACCGACACAAAAGACTTCATCGAATGGTGTCACTTCTTGGTCTGGCTACAATAAACCCTCCTTCGACCTAATCCAATATTCCTTAACATCACACATCGAGGTAGGCGGTGGATGGGCATGCACGGTAAATGTCCAAGCCCCCTCACCCGATGAAGGTTCACAACCTCGTCTATCGACTTGCCTTTCTTGTCTGGTACCCTTCATCTGACCTTAACATTGCTCACGTGATAAGTTCACCAAACGCGAGCGACGCTGCGAAGACACTTATGGTCAAAAACCTGTAGTCTCTTAACATCTCCCACTTCCTACGTCCACGTTTCACAGTAGTACAACAGGACAGAACGGACTGCAGCGCAGTATGCTCGTCCTTTGATAATAACTAGTCGGATATCTCGTCAGCACCAGAGGTGATGCAAGTTGGCAAGTGCCAAACGAGCCTTCTGTATCCGAGCTGAGATTTCATCACTAACCAACCAGCCCGTTACAGCTGATCCAACTCCCCAAGTAAGTGAAGTGGCCGATACTTTTCACCACTTCACTCCATGTCATTAAACTGTGAGTGGTTGCAGACCAGTCCTGGAACATCATCTTGCAATTCACAGGTGCGAAACGCATACCAGCCGAACACATTCAGATTTCTGCTCAACGTGTTATGAAAACCCTGCATTTTGTCAGCATTTTCACCTGGTAGGACAATACTGTCTGCATATTCCAAGTTAACTAGGTGACCTCCAAAGAGTAGGTCAATCCCCGTGAAGTCAGACGTATCTAAGGTTATGTCCATAGGTACGTCGGTGATGAAGTTGAATAGGAACGGTGACAGTGGATATCCTTGCCGGACACCACTAGTTGTTGTCAACTCACTTTATATCACAAAATAAGTTATTATATCAGATAAGTGAATGGAAGGCAATGGGATGGATAATACATATGCAGACGTTACATTGTACACTTTCGACTGATTACCACTCAGTTTTGTTATGTTATTCAGCATTAACATTGAGAGCCTTTACGTAGCTCAAAATCGCAAAAGACGTTCAGAACTGATCAAGTTTATTGGGAAATATTCAGCAGATCGCATGACCAAACATATCACTGTTTAACTGAACAATTTGACAAAGATCACTGACAAGAATCTTCTGGAAGAGTTCGACAGCCCAGGTTACTTCTAAATATAAACCAGGCTAGCATTACGTACACATATAATCTTATATCATCTGCTGTCTCACTGATTCTTTTCTTTTCCAGGGATTAAGAGATCATCAAGTGTGAAATTCAAAGCAAATAAAATCAGCTTTCCTTGTTCATGAAAATAAAAGTGAAGTTCATCGGATGTGTGCTTAGATAAATGAAACCAAATTAGCACGAAGTCCGTAAGCGAAATTCTAACCCTATTATGACGTGCGGGTCCGCAGGTCAAGAGAAACCAGTGGTTGGAGACTATGTGATATGGTTCAGAATAGATGTCAGTGGCGCAGATGTATACACACATTATCTTCATCTTAACGACGCTATACCGAGTCTCACCATTTCCTCATTCTTCCTTTCTCTCTTTTAGTGCTTTATATTTCTTTGGGTGAATTTTCTTTCTCCATCTTTCACTGCACTGCCTTTTTACTTGTTGTACGGATATGAGGTGTGACAAGTGGGACCTTTACTCAGTAATCCCTGGTCCTATGTTGATTTGGATGGATGGATAATGACGTGCCCTTCTAGGGGAAGTTCGACTAGGTTGAAAGAGAGTTCAGGATGGCTAGACCAAGACGTGTCACCATTCGGTGAAGTCTCTTACCTTTGGTCTGATGCGTGTTGAGAGATATAGGCTGCCTAACTGGGGTCCCCAAGAAGACAGCAATCGGTAGTCGAGAAATCTTGGTGGAACGACTGAAAATCGGTAACAGTGGCCCGGATGTATTCACTCCCTGTCGCCTTCCAAAGCTTGTATCTTTATGCTAACCGCTATCTTCGAAATGCTTATTCTGTTCACTTGTTCTTATTATACTACTATGAAGTGTGGCAACTTGAACCAATGCACTTGTCTGCGAGATTCTACCTAAATTTTGTCTGTCTGACTGTCGATTATAATTCATAAGAAAGAAATCTCTGCTCCCCTACATTTGAATAGAATCCCAACCTTTCAAGAGTGCAACAAGATAATTGTCACTAAGCTATTATAGTTACAACTAATCCACAACAAAACTGGTCATTTACACCAGTTAGCTGTGGGAAGAAAAGCTTCTAATTACCACATTCGCTTCCTCAATCATTTGCTATTAATATCGACACGTTACGAGGGATCATTCAGTGCTTACAATGTATTCCCCTAATAAAAAGACTTTGATGATTGTTATTATTAAGCAGCACAGTAGTAGTCAATATCATGTAACTCAAAGAATACAGTAGTAACATTCCCCACTTCAGCCCAAAACAATGCGAGTATAAAGTTCGCGACAGAATAAGATTTCCGTTGCTTTAGGGTTTAAAAAGCACAGGTATCTAAGTTTAGAACCATTTGTTGATTGAATAAATCAATAAAATAATACAATATATTAACTGTAGCTTCCTAGAGCTATCTCAGAGCACTATAGACGAACCAATAATATGACGAAAAACAATTAAATCACAGAATACACCTGAAAAGTGTTATAGGCCACACTTTAACTCACTTTAATATGATGCGTTCTGCAGAATAGATTTAACAGTGTAGCTTGGTGAAGTGAACATTGAGTGAGTACCAAACACTGGAACAAAAAGGTGATGATAATAATAGTTAAAATAACTTCAGTAACGCGATTAAATCGAAAATTAAACGAACTGAAGGTAAAATACTTAGAAAAACTAGACACCCTTTGCATCCTGAGGGTTAAGAAAGCCTGTAACATTGAACAGTGATTCAACTACATTATTAGTTGGACTATAATGATAACTTCTGGCAAGGGAAAATCTAAGTCTGACTGAGAAGGACACATCATTTAAAAGTTTATTAAACTGAGCTGTTTGACTAACTACGACTGTCAGAATATGCAGTTTCGTCTAGAAATCTTTTTATGACTAGAAGGAAAGTGAACTGAAAGAAGCTTCAAAGAAGTCAAATTAGGAAACACTAAATTTGTAGTATTGTCGTTTAATAGCCTGAGCTTTTGGACTTTTGATGTACGGTCTCCAAGATATTTAAAACCAGTGGAGCAGAATCAGGTACCAACGTTATTTCCCAACTTTATATGCTATTTGTCTTTTCATTTTACTTTTAAAAACCCAATAAAATATGGGCACTAAGAGGTATGCTACACAAAATGCCACAATATTATGACGACAGGAAAGAAGAAAGACGGGAAACGAAAAATAAAAGAGTGAGCAGAGAAGAACAAATTATACAAAATGTACTAAAGAAACTTTCACTACCTTTTATTGCTGTTTAAAAACAGAAGATAGAATGGATTTGCAGTGAAACCACTGCTTGTTTCGATTCTGAACAACACATGATAACTTTTTAGGTGATTTAGTCACGTTGTCTGTTGAACCACATCCAGAAAGCAGTGGCGCACCAATATATTCTGGCGCAACATACATACCTACTAACCCAAAGTGCAACATGACTGAACGATAAACTCTTCACTTCTTTCAACCAGTTTTAAAACCATTGAACGGTGATTATTGCGGAAACCTTTAAGACCATCTCTTGTGCTGACAGCATATCACCATGAATTGTATTGGAGCAATATATGCTGATGACTGCCCGTATTTATACTGAGTGCTGAGTAAAGGCAGACATCAACTACCCAGTAGTCTAATAAATGATATACAGCAGTCTTTGAAGTGAGAAACGAAAATACACTAAAGAGATCCCACTAGCCGTTATCAATTACATCATTTCACACATAGTACTTCACACTACCTAAGGTAACTTGGTCTTCACAATATGTTTTCGGACAAACAAGAGCACACATGTACCCCGACTTGGTATATTTTGTAGCACATAAGAGAAGTATAAGATTAACAGAATGTTCAAGGCTTTGGAGATGAAAAAGTGTATACGTCGGCGGCATCAGGACATATTTCGAGTCATACCACCAACAGCCGCCAACCATCTGCTTCTATCTTCTACAGGACCTCAGTGATTCAACCTACACCTTCATGCACCCCTCAAGTCAACAGTCAAAGACTTCATGAACTGGTGTCACATCTCCATCCCTCCACCTTCAGCCTTCTTCTTAATTGATCCTACTTCGCATAACATGTCGTGTAGAAGGTGGATGTTGCCTTGGCATGTGCAACACCTATCCATGTAACCTCAGTCGCTGAAAGTAAACAACCTCATCGACTGATTTGCCTTTCTTATTTAAACTCTACATCCAACTTCACCAGTCCTCACACAATAACTCTACCACAGGCTAGTTATGCTACAGTAACACACCAGTAATGAAGATACTGTAACCTCTTCATATCATCGTTTCTCAGCCATCAAGTCTCATATGTGTATCATACGACGGGGTAAATTGCAGTGCAGTATACTCGACCCTTATTAGGAAGGCGGTTATGTCATCGATGACACAGACAACGAAAGGTGGGAGATGCCAAAGTCACACTTTTTGGATCCGAGTTGAGAACACATCAGCGATCAGTCTTTCTGGGCTAATGTAATTCACAAGTAAGCGAAGAAGTCAGGTCAACACACACTACCACTTCAAAGCCTATCCATGAATTTGTAGTTCGTGTAGACCAGTTGTGAAGTATCAGTCGATGCATGGGTCAGAAACAGTCTTCTCAGCTTCGAGTGATACAAGTCGAATCAGGTACTTCATACAGAATGGTGACCTTTCACTGATTCTCTCTACTGACGGCTTACAACAATCTTATCTGTTTGTGTCCGGTAGTGGTTTGCTGTAAGAAGACAATATCCCTCTCTCTGTGCTTGAAGTTGTTTCTGGTAGCGAAAGGTGATCGATCTTCCAGGCGAAACCATAGGAGACGATAATCGTGGAATACCGCAGATGCCTTCACTATCGATCGGTTCAGCTTCGTTTCTTCAGGGTTGAAGTCGACTACTACTTTGACTATCTGTATTTGAAGGTATTGTTAACGCAGCAAAATTTACAGTTTGGTGGGGCTTGCATGTCTCAAAGGTCCAGTGAGCTATACTGACTGGGATAAATATTCTTTAAGGTCGAACTATGATACGAAGGTGTTTTCGGGGTATTGGCAAGATAAGATGCAGTTACTGTTGTTGTGGAAGTCGCGCTTCCGTGGTGAGGGTCATAGGGTGATGAAATGGGGTTGGTGGTTAGAGGGGTGTGACAACAGTGAAGTATCTCCGTCAGATGGTCGGGAGTCTGTGTTGGTGTTGACTTCCCTATGAGAAGTGGGGTTGGGAAATTTCAGACCCATGAACTGAACACTCCTCTCTGCCCTGATGTCATGTGGCACGAGGGTCATAGGTTTCATTCCCTGGTTTCAGACAATCAAAGTTGAATGTCCAACTTCCGAAAAGCTCTTGTGTGAACGTCCTCACTTAGATGTTCCTTTGGCTTCATCGTCACGCACGGCTATTACTAATCGAATTTTTATCGGCTTCTCTAGGATGGTATTACCTTCCACTGTGTGGTCACTGCAGAACAGGCACCTGCCCTCACAAATGTGTTAACATTAAAGCTTCCACAGATCATCATCAACATTTCACATCTTTGTCTTCTAATCTTTCTTCGTATCTCCCGGGTAGTATTCGTATGTTATTCTTAATTTGTTCCAGCCATACAGACCCTCATACAGATTTCAGTTCATGAAACGTTTTCACCGGCCATCTGAAATCACAATCCAGAAGACGTATTGGAGCTTTCAATGTTCACGTGCTTCGTCAAGTCATACAACAGGCAACACGCTCAAAAGCTTTGGCATCTCAGGCTATGGAGATGTGTTGTTTGTGAGAGACGCATAAACGACCGACGTGTGGTTATTCATATAATTTCATCCGGCTAATATAGTGAATAAGTGAAATGCACTCCCAGAGTTTCTGGTACACGATGACCAGTAGTTGAGGTCCTGCATATGTAGGTATAGCATCTTGTCCTAAGACATAAAGTGCACTACTGGACCGAATACAATCTGAAGTCGAGTGGCCAACAAATCCTACTATTTCGCTGTTTATCCTTCACTTAGTAGTTTGCTCAGACCAATTCTGAAACACCACCTTACATTTGATGACTAACTCATGTGTGCTTTAACTTCGATACATGCGATGATAAATGCATTGATGAGCTAATGCTTTTAAACTGTGAGCCGAAACCAATTCTGTCTTGTGCTATTAATTGTGAATGATGACAACAATATCAATAAACTATGAGTGGATGGAAATGGATATTGTTAGTTATAGCCTTATATTGATGGGTAAGGATTTATTTGTTTCTCACTAACCTTTATATTAACTCTAACTGATTATTTGTTGTCTGAAATCTAGAATATAAACATCTTTTCCCAGGCCACATCTTTGTATATACGTGAATCTTCTATTTCACCGATGTCCTGTAGAGATGTGGCTTATTGGTTTATAAACGCAATTTACAAGCACTGGACCCCGGGTTTGGACCCCACTTCGCCTGCCTCTGCCTATGCGAATGGATAGTATAATAAATCTTGCACAATAAATGTGTCTCATAGCCTGTTACAAAAACTTGTATTGTATTGAGTTAAATCATTATCCTTATGTTCTTATTTAGTAGTATCTAATCTGAATATCAATAGCCAGTAGGCTATCAGTTAATGTTTTAGATAGCAATACATTTTGTAGTCATCATATGATAAGAATGAGTCATTATGGCAATTTTCGAGCTGAGTATCTAGTTCGAACACCGATTTTTATGTGGGATATTTCTGTCAACGAAGACAAATTACAGTTCCAACAAATGGATATGCAGTATACTTTGATTTTCCACAGATGATTGACTTACGATTAAAACGACACCACAATGTATCCAGCCCAAGACATTACATAGTAATTATGCAATGAATACAACGATGAAATCAGATTGCGCCTGATTCTTGACTCATATCATAAATAACATGACAAAGGCAAGGGAATGATTTTAATAAAACTCTTACATCAACTTTTGTAGATGACTCTTCATCGACTAATGACTTTAAAATCTTCTTATTCAATGAATCTGAAAGAGGACATCGAATTTTAGTCACATCATCCAACGCCAAAGTGATCCGAACATAAGGATTTAATGCGACCAAGTGACTAAGACTTGCTTCGGCTCTGAATATGAAGTTGAAAAGTCAATAAAAGAAGACAATGATTTCAAACTTATTACACATACTCGTAGAGTAAATTTAAATAGACTATAGTGTTGCGCATATTTGACACTGACAGAGTAAACTACCAAACTGTAGAAAATTTTTGAATCTATTGCATATATGAAGGATTTAGACTAGAAGTAACCTCACTTCTTCCTGCAATGTTTATTCTTGTTTGGAAAAAACTGACTTTGGGGAACTTATTGCATGAAACGGCATTTAGCAAGTGACATTAAACAGCTACTCTGAACAACACTTATCGATGAAGGAATCCAATATAACTACTGAACGAAGTAAATTGACGGCTAGATGCATTGTATTTAGACCACTTACTCGGTGCTAATTGCTAACAAGTTATGAACCTATATTTATTGGATCCCAGGACTGTTCAAAGCCAAGAGGAAATACGTATCTGATAATATAAGCAACCATTATAATAAAATCGTTGTAGGGTGAAATGATTAATTGGTGAACACAATATGTCCACCAGGTGGATACGTAGAAAGTTAATACGGAAAAAGGTAAAAAATAAGTGGGAAGAGATTTATACTCATTATAATTCAACTGAAGACAAATTTATCTGATAATTAGGCATGTATACTAATGGAATTCAACTGGATTGTGCTTTAAGAGGATATGAAGTTATTAAAAAGGTCAACTGCACAAATAAAGATTTGAGTAAGGACTTCCTAAATGCATGAATACATAGTAAGACTCAAAAATGTGGGAGAAAGTTTTACCATTGACGACAAAGAGGCTACAGTAACACAATATTTATCCAGAAAAAATCACCTATTTTTAATGCTTCTATCCCTATTTTACAAGAGTTCAAAAATTTGGTTCCGAAAACAGAAATATGATCGAAATCATCCCCGATTATAATTTTCGAAATAACTTCATCTATATACAGTACAAATCAGTAGTCAGAGAAGTTATGTATCGCTATCATGTTTTTGTGTAGCTATTTTGAGGCTTCCTCCACCCCACTCATATTCTAAGTAACAAAGTGTACATGTGGGTGATTTAACATGCGTAATAACGTCATCAAGCAACTCAATTAATATACGCTCTCAATGTCAACAAGCGGCCTACTTCCACTTCGAAACCTTTAATATCGGCACATATGAGTCAGTAGTTTAGGCAAATATGAGCGATATATGCATTGATCGGTCAGTGGAGAGCAAACAATTTCAAATTGTCTAGTGCTGACCGAATTTGATCGATCACTTTGCAATGTAGCCACCAAGCTAGGAGGCTAACTGCCGAGCACTTTGATGGATGTTAGTTGGTTGCATGGCAATCGGTTAGGCGGTAACGTCGCCGACTGCAGCGCTGGGTGATGCGGGTTCGAACCTCAGAGAGGATATCAGTTTCTCTGAGACTGCAGATACACCCTGTTGACGAATGTTGACAAGTAGGAAATCTAGCTCCAGGACTTTGTGCTGATTGCCTTCGATCAATTAATGAATAACATATCTTTGGTAATGGAGAGTAAAAGCTACAAACTTTCTCATATTCTCCAGCTTTGTTATCTATGCATCAAAGTCATAAAATAGGACTTTGGTGTTCATATTTAACCTTAAATCTGAAAAGGCTGAATAAAAATCAAAGAGAATTTTGTATTAAGCTTTGGGTCATTTCATCAGTGGTTTGCCGGAACTGCCTGACTTTCAGATAGTTTCGTAATGTCGTAGGCATCCACACTAGCTTTGCAGAATTATATATAGCCCAACCGATAGTTGCTACACTAACGTGGTGGTCGAGCTTGTATGTCGCAATGATCCGACGGGCTAGGCTGGTGGACAACCTGTTCTCTTGAGGTCTTATCATGCCAAAGGTATGTTGGATATTGGTATGACAAAAAGCAGTTACTTTTGTAGAGCAAGTTGCTACTTTATGATGGGGTTCTGAGGCCAAATTTGTTAGCTGGGCGGAAGTGTGATAGCAGTAAGGTATTTCCCTCGGATGGTCAGTTGTGCCACCCTGATGCTGGGAAGAGAGGTTTGGAAAAATTGATCCTGAAAATAACATTCACCGTTATCCCATGGCAAAGCGGTATACGAAGACTGGGTTCAGAGAGGGATTCAAAAGCAACAAACCAAAAACTCAAACTTCAAGAAGGCCCTGTGTGGCCAACCAGCGAACTTCTTGATTGGATACTAGTCAATCTGTGTGCAGTTCGACTGAGTGGATCTATAAAAAACTAGGAAGGTTCGTTAGACTAGTCAATGCCTATTAGTAATCTCCGTCTACGTGCTCACTGACTACACTTACCATAACTCAAAGCATGAACTCTATCAATAGATATCACTTTTACTACATACACAAAGCGAAACATTCACATATATTCAGAACACAAGGTGACTTTAAAGCTCAACTAAGCAAGGTCAGTCAATTCGAAAGGCATGATTTCAGGTCTCTATGCATACCCCGTGCCAACAAACCGACAATGGTGATCCTCCCTTGCAATTCTGTTCCGATAATCACTTCTTTCCAGCCAGCAATTACTTCAAGCAAAAGAGACACAATGCACCACATGACATCCCCAGACATCAAACCAACTGTAGATACAGATATATCATACTGCTATAAACCGCCCTTCCAGAGGATCCACGGAGGACACACACTCTATGAAGCATCTATTTGAACTCCGATCACAAGTTAGTAAAGGTATGTGCATGTTCGTGCCTTAAGCGTTGCGGAAAAATGCAGTAGTGAAACCAATATGTGCTCGATTACAAGATGAGAAGGTGAAGTGCGTATTTAGCATTTATCTGAACGTGATACCAATCCTCATCCTCAAGATTCCTGGACTGATATTATGTCTGCTGTAGAAGCAGCGATAAATAAGTTGGTAACCTACAACCAAAGGTTAGCAAATATCAATGGATTTTCGCGACCTCATTCGAGTTGATTGATGTGAGAAGACTCATTCCTACTGGCTCCGTCCGACCTTCATCAGGAGAAAAAGCAACACCAAAGTAAGTAGACTAAGAGTTCCAAATGATCACGAGCAGTGATGGGTGGTGAAAACAGAAGAGATGGAGAGGCCACTGGGAAATATTCGGCAACTATTTAGGCTTATTAAGCATACCAACGATGGTTAGTGAAGTCATCACCGAAAAGGATGGAATGGTGATAGTCTATTAGGACAGGCGACTAGAACGTTAGGCAGATCACTTTGAAACAGTTCAACTGGTCCATAGCAACGCCTCAGTTGCCAAGAATCCAGTCAGAACCTGATTGTGATGTAGATGTCAGTCCTCCAAATCTCCTTGTATTGAGTAGGCTGTTTCAAACCTGAAACGATACAAAGTAGCAGGACCTGATGATTTGTCAACGGATATTTTTACGGATGGAGGTAGGAAATTACTGAGTGGAGAAGAGGGAGGGTACTGGGTGGCACATGAGAAGCAGAGGTACTTCTAGCAGACTAATTTAATTCACTGATTATCTCAGTTTGTAAAAAGAGAGAGGTAGTGTTGTAGCTCATTGGTTTAGGGGAGTTGATTTTCAACCAATGGGTCATGCGTTCGAATACCACTTCACCTACCGAGATTCCAGCAGCTAGGTAGCATCATTAGCCCTTACAAGATAAGAGTGGTTCATTGCCTACTGCATGAATGTGCACAAGGTTGTTGAGTAGATTTCGGTAGAAAGAGAAAATTTCTCTCGTGATAATTATATGGGGATCAGTTCAACTAAAACCGTGTCCAAGATCCTGGGGTCCATTGTTATGGAGCTTAAATGAAGCTTGAGAACAGCAAACTCGAGAAAGTCAGGTAGGTTTCAGATCTGAACGAGGGTGCATCGGTCATGTTTTCACCCTCTGACAGGTTCTGGAACACAGGCATGCTTACCGGACACCGACACTTGGGATATTTCCTAACCTGAAGGAGCCATTTGATTCAGCCGTCCGTGAGGTGTTTTGTCAGTGTCTGACTGTGAAGAAAATGCCAAGCAAGTATGCAACCTTAACTGAAGCTCTTTACTCAAACTCATGAAGCTATTTCAGGGCTTCTGGAGAAATGTCGTCAGAATTGACAGCTAGTGGTGTCCGGCAAGGATATCCACTGTCACCGTTCCTATTCAACTTCATCACCGACGTACCTATGGACATAACCTTAGATACGTCTGACTTCACGGGGATTGACCTACTCTTTGGAGGTCACCTAGTTAACTTGGAATATGCAGACAGTATTGTCCTACCAGGTGAAAATGCTGACAAAATGCAGGGTTTTCATAACACGTTGAGCAGAAATCTGAATGTGTTCGGCTGGTATGCGTTTCGCACCTGTGAATTGCAAGATGATGTTCCAGGACTGGTCTGCAACCACTCACAGTTTAATGACATGGAGTGAAGTGGTGAAAAGTATCGGCCACTTCACTTACTTGGGGAGTTGGATCAGCTGTAACGGGCTGGTTGGTTAGTGATGAAATCTCAGCTCGGATACAGAAGGCTCGTTTGGCACTTGCCAACTTGCATCACCTCTGGTGCTGACGAGATATCCGACTAGTTATTATCAAAGGACGAGCATACTGCGCTGCAGTCCGTTCTGTCCTGTTGTACTACTGTGAAACGTGGACGTAGGAAGTGGGAGATGTTAAGAGACTACAGGTTTTTGACCATAAGTGTCTTCGCAGCGTCGCTCGCGTTTGGTGAACTTATCACGTGAGCAATGTTAAGGTCAGATGAAGGGTACCAGACAAGAAAGGCAAGTCGATAGACGAGGTTGTGAACCTTCATCGGGTGAGGGGGCTTGGACATTTACCGTGCATGCCCATCCACCGCCTACCTCGATGTGTGATGTTAAGGAATATTGGATTAGATTGGAAGAGGGTTCACAGTGGCCATACTAATACATGACAGCAGTCGACTAAGTCCCTGATGGTTGGTGTGAGCTATGTGGAGAGATGTGAAATGCCTGACTGAGGTCCACAAGATGATAGGAATCAATGTTTGAGACCTCTTGGCAACACGGCTGAAAATCTGTCAGAATGACGCAGGCGTATTCACTCTTCAACGTCTTCTATAGTCTGAATATTCATAATAACCTTTATCTCCTCAATGTTTATTCTCTCACACAACTTTATGTAGTTTGATATCACCTTTTCCATCCATTTGTTTCTTGTTTACTACTGTGAAGTATGACAATTTGAACCGATGCAATTGTCCGCGAGGTTATACGCTGAGTTCTCCTGTCTATCCGCCACGGACACCCACTGTTACCGTTTTTATTCAACTTCGTTATAGACGAACTAACGGAGGAAACTTTATGTAAGTCTGACTAAATAGGGTTTGATCTACTCCACAGAAGGCATTTGGTTGACTTGGAGTATGCAGATGACTCTCCTTTTAGGTGAAAATGCTGATAAAATGTAGGGTCTTTTAAACTTTTTAAGCGGAAATCTATGCATGAGTGGCATGAATTTCGCACCTGTTAGATGTAAGATGATGCTTCAGGACTGGATTGCAGCCACTCCCAATTAAGGATATGAAATGAAGTGGTAGAATGCGTCGATTACGTCACTTGAGGAGTTGCATTGGCCTGCACGGATTGGTTGCTGACGAAGTTTCGGCTACAACTGAGGTTGACTTGGTATTTGCCAACTTACAACATAACTGGCACTGAAAGGTATCTGACGACTTGGTAAAGAATGGGTATACTGTGATACAGTTTGCTACGTCCTATTATACGGCCGAGACATGGTTATTAAAAGTAGATATGAAGGAACTACAGGTTTTTGACCATTGACGTCTTCGTATCACTGCTCGCCCATACTGCAATCACCATATGAATAATGTAGATGTCAGGCGAAGCATACTAGGCAAGAAAAGGAAGGAAGTAGATGAGGTTGTGAACCTTTACCAAGTGAGGCAGCTTGGACATGTGTTGTGCATGTCTAGTCACCACCTACCTCAATGCGAAGTGCTAGCAGGTTAGACTAGTTTGGGAGAGTATTTAAGGTGGTCAGACTAAGACGTGCACCAGTGCATGAAGTCTCTGACTTTTGGTCTTAGTCGTGTGGGGAGGTGTAGATTACCCACCTAGCTGATAAGAATTAATAGCAAAAAACCCTCAGTGAAATAGCTTAAATTAAGCTACGCTGGCGTAGATTTATTCACTCTTAGACGTCTTGCAAAACTTGTAAGTTTTGATTAACCTTCATTTCCAAATTTCTTCTCCGCCACATACCTTTGTTTACTTTGATATTGCTCTTCTGTCCGCTTATTCGTCCCATGCTGCTGTGAAGCGTAGCAACTTGAATTAATGCACCTATATCTGAGGTTCTACGTTGATTTTGCCCCCCTATCTGTTTGAATCATGCAAATTATGGGAGGGTGTTGCACGCAGCCTCGACACCAATATTCGGTCACGAGTGATATAAGCTTTATCGAAGCGGGATGACTTGTAGTATGCCCTCTTGGCACCAAACTCCAATTATATTCAAAACAGGAGAAGGAACTTTAAGATCATAAAATGTAATCTACATGATCTTGCACGGTGCTGATAGTCTTTGCAAGCGTTTTACTATAGTACGCGTTCACGAATGATCACTTAGTACCTTTTCGTAGAGCTTATTCCCAACTATGCGCTCAAAGTCCATAGTTTCATCATCTCTATCCAGATTACTCTCATACATTTCCCTTGAGCAATCCTCAAGTATATAAAGATGAAAATATTGCTTGCCTGAGAAGTTTAAACTGACTAGTTGCCTTTTATCATTGGTACCCACACGCTAGTTCAGTTACCAAATGAGGTCGCACTCACAAACACTAAATTATGCAGTACTAGTCATACTAGACAATGAACAAAGCCAACTACCTCCACATAAGAAAAGCAATACCACACACTTTATTCACAGTTCAATACGGTTAATATCTTGCGTACTATGCAAATTGAATGAAAAGAGTATATTTGCATTACGTGACCACCAATTATTACTAAGTAGTATTCATGGATAACAAGTCTATCCTTTGAGATCTGATTCAGATCCGTTCGAAACGTTTCTGGTATACCGAAAGTTCTGTGGGTTTTCTTACAGTTATACAAAGCATTTAGAAAAGCACAGTGATTGACATTCAACAAGACTTTAGAATAAGACGAAAGTGCTTACCTAGTTCTACAAGCCTTAACATCCTCCTCATGGACATAAAACTGAGTCCCCAGATCTTGTTGGGTACATAAAGTGTGGTCCTGGATAATAATTTCACCAATGCCACCCAGAATCAAATTTTTTGCTATTGAGCCAATTAGCACTAGGTTAACTTACCAATTTCTATGCCAACACCTCCAAGACCATGTAAGAGTACCTTTGATCTAGACATCTGCTGCATCGCACTGTCACCTAAAACACATCTTTGTCGACTATAGGAATGGTTAAGTAACTAAAGAGGTTTAACCTGTATAAAGAGTCGTCGATCTCTACAGACATTTCGTGGATGCTGGTCAATAGCGTACTGCTATTAACGACAAGAGGAAAAGACAATCTAAAGAATGAAACTACAAAACCAGCAGGTGATGTCTTGAGAACGTTATACAAATGCCACGTAACGCATACTAGGAAAAAGCCCCGAAGGTCAACCTTCAACTTCAAACTTCATGTTGTAGAATTAGGGAATAATGATTCTCTGAGTTCCACCCCTGCTTTATTTGAAAACGTTGTTGAATTGCAGTAGTTGAAGTTATCCTTTTGGTTCCAAAAAACCTGGAAGAACAGAGATAATCGATTACTAATTGGCATTGGTATGGTTGCTCCCCTGATCTGTAGATGAACGCAAGCTTCGCTAGTACCGGCCGTTGATACTACTAGATCCTAAGCATGCACCTAACTTCTTTTTGAAAGTTTCAGAGGGCGGCTGTTACATCTCTTTTGTAGCTCTTCTCTGAACCTTTCAAAGGTGGAATGTCCCTTTTCAAGTTCGGGAACATCACGAGCGAGATAAGAAAGAATATAAGGTCTTTTCACTATCATGACAAGGGTCGGAGTTAGACTTCCCAAAGTTCGCGAAAGAAACAGAAGGTCTCCTAAGGTCTTTTTGGTAACAGGGCGACAATGGATCGAAGCTCTTAATTTGCCACCTAAAGTAACCCCCAGGCTTTTTTCAATGTTTGGGTGACAGATATTCACTTCAATCAGAGAACAAGTAATAAAGCTATTCCTATATTTGTCGACCATTCTTGGAGTTGAGGGGGAGTAAGTTTTCAGTGGTCAAATTTGGTATTTCGGAAAAATTCTCCTGGGTAACTTGAATATCCATTGGCTCCTGTATTTCCATCCAAATCTTAAGACAGTCGGTACCAAGTGGAACATGATTCTGTAGGAAGATGAGTCCATTTCAAAAGAAATGGCATAAAGTTTTAATTCGTCATTTGAATTTCACAGCGCTGTGGGCTTGTTTTGGGCTACCGATTATATCTGATGCCTTAGGTTAAGGTGTACATATGCTACCCAAGAATCCTGTTGGGTGCCAATGAAATCCACGAAGTTTGCTTCCGGGATGTCATTTCTCGTGTCTACAGGCAACGTGTTGCCTGACAGCTGCGAACATGGTTAAAGCTGAGTCATACAGGCCATGAACTTAAAAAGTTTAGGGGAATTCCTTGTACAGGGTTTTTCCACAGAAGGGTTCTATCTCTACTTGTTGACCGGATACTTACTGTGCGTAAACTTCTAGGAGTTTTACCTCGTAGTTCAAACTTTTACTTTCAGTTCTACCACGTTTATAGATGAACGTATTCGTGCAGCTCCTCTGTCCCCAACTTTCCTGGCTTATCAGTGCTTCGCCTTCCAAGTTATGGGTTGAAGATAACCGTTTTGCTTCGCAAAACAATACTCTAATCAGCGCTCATGTAAGAGTGACTGGACTGAAGCTGTTGGAATTTAAATAGAGACCGTTACATGCATCCTTTCCACAGACAACTGTATAGAGCATACTTAGTCTCCTTTCTAAATCTTAGATATTCTTCTCTCCAACCTCCTCCATTTCCATTTCAGGGAAATGTTCCGATTCATTTCAAATAAGTGTACGAACGTCCTATCCTCCTCACTTCCCCTCACTTCAACCCTGATTTCATCATTTCCTGAGATCCAACGCACCTATCGCCTGACCTCCGCTTGCTGAATTCAAGTACATTAAATTTACACCGTATTCCCGTGCTCAGTATTTTACATATTGTAAGCAGATCACGAGTCTGGGGAAGCACAGTGATATAGTATGAATCAGTGGATATCTTATTCTTGCCATTCTAAAAACAAGTCACTCATGACAGTTACGCAAAGGCGTTTCGTCAGATTTTCAAAAAGTTGTTATCTGTAAGATTTAATCTTATCAAAGCCAAAACAAACTAGGGAATATTGACGGAAGCGATCAATGATATCCAAACAGGTTCAACGCCCACTTTTAGTCTTTCCTAATTTGACAGAGTTAATCAAAAGTGACCCCGCAAATAACTCAGACATGAGTATAAGAGAGAGGTAAGTGACATCAAGTTCCAGCTTTCTTCATATTATTTCCCATACATTAGCTTTGACATTCCTCCAAACGGTCTGATGTATATGAAACTCACCTCAGACAAGGTAGCTCTGTTCGTCAGTTGACTAGTGTATCTCAGATGGATGCATTACTCTGACTAATCACAATTTTGTGATGTTTGGGTGAATTAAAAGGCTGAGGCGATGCATAAGTTTTTACTATTCAAAGGAAGGATATTGCTGTGATGACTATCTAACCTATCACGAGTGCTTTCAAACCAAATACTGGTTCGTACAGTCTACAGGAATATATTTCGCATGCCCTGGTGACTTGTATACAAACACCACCTAAACTTTTGTCTGGCCTCTGCACGATGCGAGTGGCAGTTGTAAGTCCTTGTCACTTTTTACGTTTGCCAACTGCAATGTCTGATTTAAACACCATTTCCGCTTTCGTTCTTTTTGCACGGTTCGCCCTGCTCTGTTAACACTAATCGAACTGACAGCGTCGATGACCTGATCGTTCTTACGCCAACCAGCTCTCATTTAGATTTCCCCGAGTTAAGTGGACTCCCTGTAATTGGGCAATGGTGTCAAGTTAAAGCTTTCTAAGCGCCAGCATCAGGCGTAAGCTGTTTGCGTCCCGTAACGTCTATTGTATGGATGATATTTCACAGAAGGCCAGTCAAGTGTTAACCATCTTGGACCGAGTTTTACTCGTGAACTTTGTCAGTCGTCCCATACCTCGTTAACTCCCAATAAAATCTTTCATTTAACGTTATTACATAAGAAAACCAGGGCAATCTGGTACAACAGCCTCCACTCATAATTTGTTGATTACCGGATTCGCCCTCTCTGTTTCACCGTTGGTTAGTCCTGGTCTACTAAAAAGGGATTGTGTATACTTTACAGAGCTTTGAAAGCCTTTGGCAGGGCAAGTGTTGTGCCTGTGGTTTAGCTGATTAACACTGTGGTTGACAGACATTTAAACTCTGGCAGACAACCAGCTGCGGTAACTTTAGCTAACCCAAAGCAACCACTTAATCCAAAGCTCTCTCCTCGTGGCTCCTCAGGGAGGGCAAGGAGAAACTACATCAGGCTATACGCCCTTACAGCTAAGTACAAGAATTCGATTGTTCCTTACCTAGCACTCACATATCAGCTTCGTGACAGGCAACAATTCAGTTGACTATGTGGATGCAACCACATCCACAAGACTATCACCTTTGGTTGTGAAGAACTGTTGTGCTTCCTGGTTGTACAGGTGGAAGCCAGGTAAGGTGGATGTTTTCTGATACTATGTGTAAGGTTTCGATGTCTTAGCAGGTGCGCTACAAGACTATTGCCCCTGATGTACGGGCCACGTTGGAAAAACCCAGAGGATTGTTGATATTATCTCCAATCACAACGAATAACAGTGGAGACTTAATACGGCAAATCAAGTTGTCTTGTGTTTCTTTTTCGCTTGTATGTATCCGAGTTGACGTGAAAGCGTAAGTGGATGAATGAGAGGCTGACAACCGGAATAATCGCTGCGAATACTTTTAGAAACTGTTTACTTTTCTGTCGTCATGCGGTTCTCAGAATTCTTAATGATGCACTGGGTTCATGTTGTAGGCTGCAGTGAATTTGCAAGGATCGCACCTACGGGTTAAAATTGTGCTCGTTTTGGGCTCCGTGGTGCAAATTAGTTTTAATCATCATCTGCGCACTTGATAGACGACGTCAGCTGTGTGTTCTCATAAAACAAAGAGGTCAATGATGACCTAAACTCTTCCCGAGGAACTTGGAAATTCGGGCATGTACGACTTTTGTAACTCACTCACACCCTGCCAACTGCATATTGGTGACTGCCAACAACGCTTTTCCTCGTTCTGCGTTGCAGGAGGAGCACCCTACGATAGGATTGTGGATGGAGAAATCTAAACGGAGTGGTGTCGGGCACGTGCTCAGACGACACTTCGGCTGTGTTGGATGCTTTGAGCCGAAATATATACCTTCATACGGGCGGGAATGAACTTTCTTGCAGTGGTGCTCATGAAGCATGCCAGGGCGACGAGAGGTTGGTAGTGCTGTACTCCTTCGTTAGGGTTATGGCTCATGAGGAGAGGCGTATGTGGATAGGAGACCTGTTTTGATAGTCTGGATTCCTCAGAAAATGTGTTATCTCGTAGGCCTCCCCCCCACAGAATGTAGAACTACTGACACTAAGTCGACGGCTTGCAATGGTACAGTCGACGGGATTCATCCTATTAGGGGTACGCGACTGACGGTCGGGTTACACGTAGAAACGATGGGTTTTGTAATCATACTGCACTGTGTGCATGCACTCTTTCCAACCCACAAGTACATTCAGAAGACCATTGTAAAGAAGTTAAGCGGTTGTTATCAGAAACAATTGCCCTATATTTTGCATGAAGATTGTTTGTTCCAACAACCATGAGTAAGCGGCAATCAAGAAGGCAGGTTGAACTTTATCAGTCTGTAGGGTAAATAGGTAAATATGTCAGACGTTGGGTGAAAAATGTTCTTGGAGTCGAATTTTGAAAAGAAGCGAAGGCCCGTGGCTTTTTACCCTTCGGCACCCATCGTCTGTGCGATCAGGAATACGTGTTCTATCTATCTAGGCACCTAGATGTAAGGAATAAAAGAAAATGAAGCCAATTAACCCGTCAGCAAAGTTATTCATTTACCCTCGACGCGGTGACGGGCGGACACCCTGCAGTGAAAAACTGCGAATCTAAAGGATCAGAGTAGGTTAACAATCTACAGTTCATCAGTGTACAGCTGTCAGCCGGCTGTGTTCAGGTCCTCATCTGCTAGATCAAGGTAGCGTTGCGTTGAGTTGGTAGCTTATGAATT